AAATATCACCTTATTTTTGTTTTTAAGTGAAGTTTTGATGACTAAAATTTCAAAAGACTGAAAACTCGCGCTTGGTCGGCCATCTAATTATCAAGTTTTCGAACTTTTGCACCGCTTTTAAACTAAAGTTTTTACGCTCAGTTGTGGAAAAGTGAATTCTCTAACGCATGTGACCTTCGAATTTTTAGCTAAATTCTGTTTGGAGGATCAAAAGTGGCATTTTCTCGAAAATTTTGACCCTTCAAAATCCCAATTCTTCAATTGATGCGGATTTTAAACAGTCGCTTGCTAGTTCAGAAAAATTAGAAACTATGTGATTTTGTCCACTTTTTATCAGGCTTTCGAATGAGATATTGCTCGAACAGAGCGGACAAAAAATGGCGGAGTTATAGTCAAAATATCAGAGATGGCTACTTATCACAAATCGACGACGGTGCACATTTTGTAAGTTCTATAACTCAGCCAGAATAAGTCAGAAAGTTCTTTTTTATTTTTCATAATCCCAGTTTTGATAGTAGAATCCGAATATGAAATAAAAAGTATATGTCAATTTTTCACTCGTGATCGGTCTTTAGCAAGATACTCGATCGACTGGTGAAGTCTCTCTTAAAAATCTTCGAGATTCAATATTGTGATGTCAAATGAAATTCAGCGGCCGAAAGCAATAGAAAATTTAGAAACTGTCAGTTCTCCAAACTACGAAACAAACTACACAAACTATCCTAGGTGTAGCAGCTAAAATTTAACGTTAAATTTTCCCTAAATGTTCAAATCTTCCCAGTGCTGTTCGACAAAATATTTTTCAATGGCTCACTCTCACGTTCTTCCCCTCCCGCGTGTGTATGGCAGTTGCTGATGGTATGTGTTTAGAAATAGTTTCAGTCCTACCGTATCTTGACCCTTCTTTTCCTACATCTTTATCGTGTGCATTAGGGCTAATTGGAAATCCACCTTAACCAATAAAAAGATAGTTATCGTCTTCTACTGGATTATAGCAGTATGATAGCGACATCAGTGATCTAGCAGACTGATTTGTAATAGCATAAAGGAAAAGAAAAAGACGACGTGCATTTTCTACAGAATGAAAGACTTACAAGGTAACGCTCGTCTGCGCTCGCTCGGTCCCTTGACTTTAGCAACTTATATTTGCAAACGATCTTCTAGAATTACCACTATTTCCGAAAGTGAAGAATTTCACAGAGCATTCTATTGGCATTATTTAGATTAAGAACCGTTTCATATTGTCAACCAGATCAGAAATATGTGCATAAATAAAGCAGAGAAGAAAGAACGAAACAAATAGGCCAAAAATATACTTTCTGCATTACAACTTATCTAACTGCCCTTGAAAAGACGTCGTTCGCTGTGTGCGTGGTTCTTCTGCTTTGTTTTGTTTTTCACTTATATTCTTTACATGTTATCTTCCTTGGATGAATCTCTTGTCCTTCGCATATAGAAATTCTTACAAAGAAACATCAAAATGCGACCATCATATTTCCTAATTCGTTGAAAGACCAGCATCTCGAATTGACGTGCAAAATCTTTGTTACAGCGACACGTTTAAAGACTAGACCATCCCGTTTAAAATGAGACATTACATGACTCAGAGTAAAACTGAAACATAAAGCTCAGGTTTTCCAGGCAAACATCTTCGCTGCCTAATGCAGAAAATCATACCTCATAGGAGATCGTGCTATTTCTAATTTTAAACGTTAGAGTATACTCTCAAGACCGTTGATTTAAAAATAAGGCTCTGTGTCTCATATCGACATAATCTCGCGGAAAACGTCTAAATGTTCCCATCCACTTTTGGAAGCGAATCTAATACTATTCATTTCGAGACCGTATTTCTTCTGTTTGATTGCTTTATGGGGTTTGAAAACTTAACTGATTAATCCCGTAATAAGTTCTTTCCGTGATTAAAAACATACAGAATAGTCTTTCTCTTAGTTCAAAAGCAGAATGAAATTAAGAAACAGAGAGATATGTTCACGAACATATTCCTTTCTTATAAACATGTTGTTAGTTTTTCGCCCCATCTTTCAAAAATGCTCCTGCTGTACGTGTTTTGTTGGAAAATTGAAGGGACAGAACTAATTAGTTCTTATTCAAGCACCTGTATTAAAGTATCGTTTTACTGTAGTCAGCAAATCTTTTGTGGACTCTATGTAAGGAAAAAAATGAAAAGAAATTAAACTAGGAGAACGCTGAACAACTTTAAAAAATAGTTCTAGATTTTCACTTTTGAAAATATATTCCACATACGGATTCGCCGGGGATTTCCTAGTTTAGAAAGTGTCGTGGATTCCATGCAAAATCGACGATTTTCTGGAAAATGCAAACCCGCTTTATGAAAAACGTAAAATTCCTGAAAATCACATTCCCAAGAAAGTAGAAAATCACTGGTGAATTCGTATATGGAAAAATTCAAAATTGTTTATTTTCTTTAACTTATTTTCAAGGAACCAGTGTATCCGAAATGATGTTCGTCTTGCGGATGTAGAAACTCTGAGAATTTCCTTTTATGTGTAGAGCGGATTTGGGCGAAACTTTCGAAAACTGTTGACTATCTGCACGCATGATTGTTGACAATGGTCAGGCTCTTATTCTTTCTGAGTTTTGAAAAACCCTGATACGAAACGCACCTCGTTCTTCTTTAAATATCCAGGTGCAGTTAAAGATGTTTTAAACAAGAGAAAAATGTACAGGTTAACATATAACTGACCATTTAGGTTATAAACTCTTCATAATTGTTCATAGATCAAACGGGGCATTTACACCTGAGTCCACCCATCGTCTATAGGATATTTCTTGTCTTGCAAAATAGGTCCTGATTATTTCGTCCATTTGTTCCCGTGTCAAATGAGCATAATCCTGACCTATAATGAAAACGCATATAACAGTAATTACTTACAGATTTTCAGTATATTTTTATTACCTGTTGCAAATTTTATGTTATGTTGAAGTTCTAAGCGAAATTCACCATTATTGCCTTTACAAATTCGCATTGGTGATCCGGCATGTCCGGCACTCAATGCTGGTACAATGCGTTTTGCAGATGTATATAGTATTGACGAGTATGAGAACTAATTCTACATCATTAGAAATGAATGAAAAGAATAGTATAGTAACAAAACAGAAAATATTTTAAAACAAATTAACCTGGTAAAAGAAATGAGAATTATGCAGTATTAGATATAGGAATTACAGTTGAAATAGCAAACAGAAAAAATATTGACATTGAAATATTTTATTACATTTTTATGGATTTTATTACATATCGCTGTCATGACGCTGTCATCTATACTTTGTCTCTCTTTATGGTTTCTTAAGTTTATTCACGATTTATACGCAATTACCATTGCTCCAAGTCAGAAAAGGAATCTCTGCAACTTTTATTGCAAAAGTCAGCTTTTTGTAAGTAAAAACTCGACTAGCTAGAACTAACTGAGCAAATTCTCGTTTAATATACTTCAAGCTGAAGAGTTCGGGTTTGTTTTATTTTAAACTAGACACCTAACTACATCGACTGACCAGCGCCGATTTTTCAATTAAGCCTTTATTGGTTTTCCAGGCAACCAACAACTTGCGAAACCCGAAAAAGCCTTCCGGATTTTCCAAAAATTCCTCAGTTTGACAAAAAACTAAGACCTAATTCAAAAATCGACGCCGGTCAGTCGATGTAGTTTCTTTTCCTCTTTTAAACAAAAAAAGAACGAATTCTCTACGCTATACGACCGTCACACTCACTGGCCACGATATGTATGTATGTCCATCAGACTGTCACATGACAATATGCACGTACATCCGTCACTCCCGGTGGTCACCGTATGTATGACTTGAGGTGAGGACATCTACTCATTAAAGAGACTAATCTTTGAGTAAGTATGAATGTTGGGTAGATACTGCAGATTGACAACTGCACGGTCTTTTTTCAAACATAAGTCTAGATTCGGCGGCATAAGCTACACAAGTAGAAGTAAATGTTTTTTGGACTTCGAAGTTGTTCACAGTTCTTTAGCATCAGTTGTCCGGCACCGTTTGTGCTTCAGAAGAATAAAAATGATTTTCTCTCTTTCATTCCTTCTTTTTGTTTGTGAAGTATATTTGATTGATATAGAAAATCACAATGATCGAACGGTACTATTTTTATCAAAATCGCTCATATATAGGAAAAGTTCAGAGCATATTTTTCTTCCACCGATGGAGCCTAATGGCGCCTAATTTGAACTTTTGTTTGAAAAAAGAACGCGCAATTATTAATCTACACTACAAGAGAATATCCTCCCGTTTCTAGAAGTTTTCTACGTTGCGTACTTCTCTAGATCACGCGACGCACATTTTGCAAAAAAATGTGATCAAACAAGAAAACTAGGTTTCAATTGTGCTTCGCACAAATTGCGATGACGACAGACTCTGTCTGCAAATTTCCACTGAACCACTTTCACTGTGATTTTCTATATCAATCAAATATACTTTACAAACAAAAAGAAGGAATGAAAGAGAGAAAATCATTTTTATTCTTCTGAAGCACAAACGGTGCCGGACAANCATTTACTTCTACTTGTGTAGCTTATGCCGCCGAATCTAGACTTATGTTTGAAAAAAGACCGTGCAGTTGTCAATCTGCAGTATCTACCCAACATTCATACTTACTCAAAGATTAGTCTCTTTAATGAGTAGATGTCCTCACCTCAAGTCCTAACAGTATAGAAGCATTTAGATCGAAAAGTATCAGAGAATGAGAAGACACTGTAGCACATACAAGTGTCGTGCAGCAAAACGGTCTTTGTATTTATAAATATCATCTTACCAAATTCCGGCATGATCCCATTAGGAAATGTAGTTGCTACTGTTGTTGTTCTTGTGATGTCGTAAAGTGGCAAAGCCGTCGTAGTATCATTGGCCTTTAAACATGTCCTCAATTGTTGATTCCATCGCGTTCCCTTTTGACAGGACAAAACTCTCTGATAAAGTTCGGAAGGACCAGTGCAGTTAATCTATCCTTGATTTGTATACGCCAGCGGAAATAGCTCATCAGTGACTGTTGCATTCAAGCACGGATTCTCGTACGTTTGCTGACAATTCGGACCATAAGTGGCTATTTCAAATGGCAAATGACCGGTTTTTGAACGATAATTACCAGCTGAACAGAGGCAAACATGGGTTAACTCGTCATAATAGGAAAACGGGTAACATTCACCGCGTCCACATACATATCGACATAATTTTGTACAATGAGGTCCAACAGTGTATGGAGGACTACTACAAAAATATTTACTTGACTTTGAAGCGATCGGTATACATATTCCACCGTTGAGACAAGGCGAGGAAGAACAAGCCGTTAGAGTTTCTGAAGCTATAGTACAACATGTTTAGTTTTTCATTTCTTTTCTTCTCAGACGCATACTTGCGTTGCAACCTCTTATCGCGTCGTAATGAGAGCCGTTCCGACACATTTGAACGATACCAGCGTTGATTATTCCTGCGCACAATATGAATCCTGATCCTTTTTGAACAGGACGAACGGCACGGTCGAAAACTCCTTGGCATAGCGGATCTATGAGTAAAAGAAAACTGTATTGTGCTACACGCCTTGATTAGATGTTTCTTCATAATGAACCTTAACTCTTGAAAAGATTAATCATGAAGACTGTTAATATTCGTTTTTCTCTTACGTGTTGTCAAACCTGACGAGATTATGATTTTATCCGCTGCAGTTAAATTAGGACCTATGCCATCACCATTCAGTTGTTGAATCTGTTTATTCATCGGAAAGGACTCTAAAAAAGATAGCAAAAGTGTTATGATCGGTCATCGGCCATATTTTCAAATTGAATGCCCTTTAAAACAGAAAATAAAACTTTTGTTTTCGTTGTTCTGAGTGATACTGTGTAAAAAATCAAAGCGACCTTATCCCTACTAGCTCTGTCAAAGGTCTGAACTATTATCGCAAGTATAAACTCAAAGATCATCTCTGTTCTACAAATATCTAAAGAAAAAATTTTGTTTTAGCTGAGTCCGCAACAAAAACGATCAGATCCTTAAATCATGCACGTTCGAGCAAACCGAGAGTGACGGACGTACATGCATATTGTCATGCGGCAGTCTGAAGGACATACATACATATCGTGACCGGTGAGTGTGACGGACGTACATACATACGGTGACCACCGAGTGTGACGGACGTACATACATATCGTGACCGGTGAGTGTGACGGACGTACAGACATATAGCCATGTGGGAGTGTGGCAGACGTACATACAC